TAAATAAATATCCTTATAAATAATAATTGTTGAATGTGTTACAGCTAATAAAAACAGACAAGATAATGTTCAAAGCTGCTGACCAAAACAATGACGGGGTTTTGGACAAGAGAGAGTTTGTTTGGTTCACCCACCCTGAAGAGCACCCAGAAATGCTGCCATTCATCTTGCAGAACACTCTGGACGACAAAGATACGGACAAAAACGGTGTCATTGATTTCCAAGAATTCCTCGGGGAAAGAGGTAATTTTACAAGTAGGTTTAGCAAATAGTTTAATCCAGTTTTCATTTTTCATTTAGCCTAACGGATCAAGTTAAATAATAAAATCTTTGGTAGTTAAAAAAAACCACTTGTGAAAGTATAAAGCAAAATCAACATTTTCCTTTGCTGCTAACATTTACCGGGGAGTGAATTGTAGGATAAGGGATAGCAGCTAGCTTACCTTATAAGAAGAACAAGTAGGCCATAGAAGACAAAGAAGACACGAAAAAAAATCTGGGCTATATTTCGTCCCCAGGGGGACTTTGTCAAGTGTAGAGAAAGAAAGTTCATAAATGCATCATGTGACATTTACTAGATAGTATTTAGTAGCTCAGATTTTATTACAAGTATATTGTCCACTCATTAATTGGAACTACTAATGAAGGCAAAGGGAAATACTCCTTGTTTTTGCTGTGTTTTACTCGGTATTTCATGCATACAAATATAATATTATTGTGTTTTTTTTCACATTTCAGGTAAAAGTCACAGTAAAGAATGGTTACTTGCCGAGAAGGAGAAGTTTGATAACGATTTCGATAAAGACAAGGATGGGATTCTGAATGCATCGGAAATACTTTCATGGGTTGTTCCCAGCAACGAGTGAGTGGTTAATTCAAATATTTTGACAGTGTAGGATTACAGTTGATCATGCCATTACACAAGTGAGATAATTGATAGCCGCACAACTATCTATCACATACTTGAATGAAAGGTCTTAATGTGAAACTTCCCCAAAAATATCAGTTTTTCGATAAACTCTCTCTTCTCTTGTCAATTAAAGGGCTATAATATTTAATCACATTGAAAATATTGTAATATTTCATTTCATTCATTATTTAGTATTAAGTTTTTTTTTTAATGTTAACTTTTATTCATACACCTAATAATCACTCCTCAGAAAGGCTGCCCTAATATTCATTTTCCTAATTTATATAATTTCATTAATATGTTCAATTAATCATTAATAATATTCATTCATAGCCTTTATTTTTTTTTACAAAGCCCACAACCTAATTATTTATTAAATATGTAAGAGAATTGCAATACATCAAAATTTCATATAATATCATTTCAAAATTAGTCCTTAAGGAATCAAAATTTAAGAAGCAGTGAAAGTGATCCCATGTGTTCAACAATGAGTGATGTGAACATTGGATTGAGAGAAAAGGAAGCCTTTTGAGAAGTTGAAATTGTTAGAAGGAGTCAAAATTTTACTTAAATCAAATTCATTCATCAAGAAGACCAGTTTCAAGTTATATCACAGTAGCCTAAACCTCAAGAGGACTCAACTCAATCATTATCTTCAAAATTAAGTATAAACTTTTTTTAAACTCTTTTAAATTTTGTGCTAATTGGACTTACTTTTTGGACAACACCAAAATTAGATTTTTCATTGTTGGCATTTATAAGTTTAACACCTTCATTAGGCCTATTTGGACACTATTAAATTTATTAATTATTAGCATTCAAGCCAGCACGACACCCTACCCTGAGATATATCACATCTAAATTATTTGAACCTTCAAGTTATTATTCAAATTTATCTTTTATTTCAATTTAATTTCAACCCCACCCGCCATTGTCAATCCTTTCATTGTAACGTCAAGCCTTTTCTCATTGCATGTTAATTGTTCATTTGTTTAAATAAAACACATTTTGTAATCCATATCTTTGTTAACTTATTAACTTTAAACATTTGTAGAATAGGCCTAGCCTAAAATGAATATTATAAGGTGAGTTCATAATATTGAAGATGTATCAGCTGTTTTAATTATAGATTTGTTTTTATTTGTTACCTTTTCCCGGAGTTCTTTTGATTCTCATTATAGATGTTTAAATTACGATTAAGCTCTTAGTTTTGATTCTGCCACACAGTTAATGCAAATACACAAGAGATTTTTATTCAAATAAGCAATAAATTGAGATTTGCCTGTATAATTTTCCTGGTAAGTGTGACGTAAATGTTTTTTTACAGTAGATTTAGAGACACACATTCTCTTAATTATTCTTGCCCCCTTAAGAAGCACAGTAGAACAACTAGTTTATTTAATTACAGTACAAACTTTAGCACCTGTGAAACATCATGCACTCTAATAAAGTGCTTGTAAAATTTATGGATATAGTGTCAAACGGACGGAAGATTTTTTCTTAGGTTGTGATGATTTATTAAAAATAAAAAAAATACCAATATAATTTTACCTATGCGGTGTTTGAAAAAAATTTTAAAATTAAAAAAACAAGGGGGGTGTAGATAGCGAACTTGCTGAAATATTAAAAGAGCTCTTGAATTTTTTACTTAAGATACATTTACTAAATTTTGAATAAACCTCAACTTCAAATGTTCAAATGTTACCCTGTACAATAAGAAATTTTAGCTGCTCCACATTTAAAATAGTACTTAAAATCAACCTATTAAACCTGCGTCCATACTTCATTTATTTATTTCTAACGGGAAACCCATTATGTCGATTCATAATACAATAATCAAGGCAAGATGTGCTAATTCTATAAATATTCAACATCAAATTTATAAATGATTAAGTTAAACTTTTTTCAGGGAAATCGCCGAAGAAGAAGTAGGCCATTTGTTTGCTGCATCAGATGATGATCATGACGACATTTTGAGTTTTGACGAAATATTGGATAAACACGAAATATTTGTTGGCAGTGAAGCGACAGATTACGGTGAACATCTTCACAACATTCACTACTTCCAAGACGAGCTTTAAAGATTTAAAAATCTTTATCGCAATTAATTTATGTTTATGTTTATTATTATTTCTACTGGAAAGTTGTCTTTTGTAAACTGCATGCTGTAAAGTTAATTGAATATTATGTACGTGTCCGTTGGAAATAGGTTTTATTTGTAGCTTTTTATTTTAACAAAAGTATTTGTTCCTGTGTTTTTAATTGTTGATTACCAGTTTAAAAATGTGGTTAAAATTTTACGTGGTATTAGGTGAATAGTAGTTGTGATTGAAAGCAACTGTAAAGTTGTTGGTAAAACCTGATATTGAATTGTGTTCACTTTATGTAACTACTATTTCGTCTGTTGAACATTTACATTGCTTGTATTGTCGAACAACATACACACTTTTACCCATTGTTACACTAAGTCTTTGCTCTTTGGCAGAACAATAAAGCACTTACGTGGGTTCCACCCGGCAGTCTCAAATCAATTCAAGATGGCAGATTGGATGGATTTAAATATAGTTCGGGATTAAACATGTCTATTCTAAAAGCTTTCATAATTTGCAAAACTGGTTGTTTTTCAATGATTGTGTCCCTCATGTGCTCTTAACATAACAGAGCTTGTATTGAATAAAGAAAAATGAATTTTAAACTATTATTTATAAGTTAAAAATCTCTGTGAAGAAGACTAATTTACGGATATTTTATAATGATTTTGTAAATACTTAAATACAAAATTACAAAATTCAGAACACAGTTTGGATCTTTGTGAATATTTTACTGTTTATTTCCACTTGGTAAACACTTTAATACTGCCACAATTTATTAAATTAATTTAAAAAATATTTGCGACTATTTTTATTACAGAATGAGATCCGTGTCGTAGTTTGTTCCATCACATTTCTTTGACCAAGTCAAGGCAACTATCTGTACCACAGACCCTTTGTCTGTTTAGTTTTCCAATAATACATATTTTTTACATTGGCCCTGATAACCCAGATTTAATGGAGTGTGATGTTTACAAGGGGTTTTACTGTATTTTAGTTTTAAATGACATGGACTAATAGTTCAGACCTAATTAGACACTAAATATAAGGTTTTGCATGTTGGAATGGAAAATGGAAATATTTTTTTCTAAAGGACTATGAAAAAAAATAAATCCATGACAAACAGAATACTATTTTATGTTTGTAAATTGCAACTCAATAATGAATGCTGATTATGTGTATATTTTAATGATTTAGTGTATGTTGAGATTTTATAAGTAAATGCCAAAAAAGTTTTATAAAAAGTCGCTCGATGGATACTTAAAAAAATAACTAGCTACTGGTAACTAAAGGAACTCGTATTAACATTTTTCAGAAAATATTTATTTGTACGCCTGAATACATAAATTACTATTTTACAAATGTTTGTTACCATGTCACTTCTTTGGGGACCAGTAAAAAAACAACTATATCAGTATGATTTATTTACATTTTACTTCTCTTGCTTTTTATTTTTACCAAATTTAAATTTTTCACCTTGACAATTCACCTTTCGTTAGGAAATCACTTTTCTTAATATAATTAATTAATCAATTAAAAGTGATTGCTCTCTATTAAGGTTTGTTCCCACACGCACAAATAGGTAAGGTGCTATTCAGTTTCAAGATCATATTTACTTTATAGAAATATTATTTTAGTTATTTTTTCATAAACACCATGAATGTATCCTTTCCTTAACCATGCCAATTAGCAAACCTTTAGGGGTTTGCACATCTCAAGTAATTTAAAACCTTTAAATCAGTTTATATTTAATGTTATTACAGTAACTGTATTCACAATCTTTCAATATTTAGTATGATCCCTAAACTAAGGTGTCTTTAAATATACTGCACACAGGTAATTAAGGACTTTTGTAAGCATATTATAATTACCTGGTGTTGACATGTTCCCATAACACATACTACTGTATTAGTAAATCAATTAGTAATAATTATTGTTAGTGTGTAGATGTATAAACCACTTGATATACCCTAGTCATTATTATTGTAAATGTGCCATTATTTATGTTCTCCTTCTGCGTAATTTGTGTTAATATAACTTATGCTAATGTGTCTTTCCTCTATGATGTCAAAAGTCACAAATATACAAATTTTTTGTACCAAACTGTTGGTTCCCTTATTATAAAATTTTCCACTCTTGTCGCCATGAACCTTAATTTGGGACTTCAATAAATATAGTCTATATTTTATGATACCCTTCCCCTTGATAAGCTTCTTCTTGGCATGTCTTTTATAAAAAATAAATAAATATTAAAAATAAAGGGTGTCCCAATAAGAACGCCGGATTTGAAATGTTAACAAACCATATATATTCATGCTAAATTTACAATATGAAACATGAATCTTAAAGCATAGTATCTCCGATTAGTAATTGAGTATTATGTCTTGTAAGTGTCAACCTGCCAAATACTGACAGGCCCGACATCTCTTGACAAAGTTTTCCGTCATTTTTTCTTACACTTCCTGTTGAATTCCATTAATGGCACGAATCATTTCCTCCTTCAAGTCTTGGATTGGTTGAGGATTATTGGCGAAAACAAACGACTTTAAATACCCTTGGAATAGAACTGAGCCAATTTATTCGAACTTAGAAATCAATCTTCGGACAGATGGATCATTTGGTGCATTGTCCCGGCCGTAAATAGTGCGCAGCTTCCGTGCTTGTAGTGCACTTTAACTATGACCACGCGTTGTTCCGTCGTGTAGCGATTCATGACTACAAATGGGACCTAATACTGATAACATTGCTGATAATTTGGGAATTTATATTGAAATACAGATAAGGATAAGACGCTCCTCAAATCCGGCGTTCTTACTGGGACACCCTTTATAAAAAACCCACACATGACACACTCCTTGGGGTCTGGGGATGATAACACATTCTGTGGTGAAGTATAACAGTATTGAAAAGTATTGTTATAAACTTTGCCATAATTTTTTCTTTGAGTTCATCAGTCAGCACAGATGTACCAAATGCCAGCCATTCATACTCTCTTTTGGTCATAGAATAAGGATGTTTGTTCTTTTACTAAAAAAAACCGAGCCCATTCTGAACCACTCCTTCCCTCATCTCATTTAGTTCTTATGAGCACACAAATTTTCCAATGAATATCTGCACCAAAATAATGTTACCTATGCCTTTAAAGACTTGTAGCAGCTCTTCACAATTAGCAAGATCAAGATTATCTTTTTGTCACACCTTTTGAGACACTGTAAAATCTAAAAAGATTCCGATTGAATCATTGTGCATTCAGTGCTATATGCTCAGATTTGCAATCTGAAGGGCTTACGGGGGGAGGGATCTTCTCGTCTGCGGGGTGGCGGGTGGCAGCGTACATGGTGCTTCGTGACAATCCACCACATCTGATAAAAACTGGTGGTGGCACGTTGTCGTGGGGGCACCTAGCACGGCCACCTCTATGTCCTTAAGTTATGTACCCAACTGCAAAATAGAATGCCTTTTTTGAACTGTTTCATGCATGGGCTACGGGTTGAATGTTCATATGCTGGAAATACTTTTTTATTTTATCTAGCTTCCACTTCATATGAACTTTACACATTGATACATTTCGATACATTTAGAGTTTTGTGTTTTGCTAAACTGCTAATAAAAATACCCTCCTCAGACCCAGCGTAACCACCAGGGCTACAATCTTATACAATTTATTTACACAATACCGCGTGCATGGCAAGAGAAACAGACTGACAAGTTAAATTTTTAGCAAGTGCAACACTCTTTTGAATCCTGTGGTAACAAACCCTGGGGTCACAATCATAGATAAAACATAACTTACTCCCTTGTGGTGCAACACTCTTTTGAATCCTGTGGCAACAAAACATCAGTTGGAGTTAAATGTGGCCGTGCACCTAGACGGGTCGGCATTAATAATTAATTGTCGACCAAAAACCTCGGTTTTTGTAGTGGGGGGTTGTCACCTCTAACCCAAACACCAAGGTGGCCCGTTGTCGTCTTCGTCTTGACACCTTGACGGTAACCCATTAGTATGTTTTATCTATGCCATTATGGTACTGATGCATTCCACCTAGAATCGTTGGTGGACGATGAGAACGGCGTTCTAGATGTTCTCACACAACAAAGAAGGACATCGCACAACAAAGAAGGACATCGAAGATTAATGACTTAATCTAGGTATTTCTTATAATAATCAATCAAAAGATAAAAGCTAAAACAACATCATCTACAGTAGTTTCCTTAGTCAATGGTTTTATATATGGTGATATCTAGTTCTTTGTATACGTAAGTTTTTAATTTTGTTCTTTAACTCTTTTTTTTATTTTATGTTAAAAACTCTATAAAAAACGTATGGTCTGACGACAAAGTACCTAACTTAAATGATAAAGAACAAACTCTAATATTTTATTATGACATTATTGTGTAGTACATATGAGAAAACTAAAGGGATATTTAATGCTAATTAAAGGAAGACGGCAACACTGAATGCCGGTTAGATATTAGAAGAAAATTTTAGTTGATCAGTTGCCGTTTCTTACTACCACAGTTATGTTGTTACACCTGTCCGATTCTGTTTCTGTTTCTGCGTCTGTTGATGGCGGTGAAGGTTGTTTTCTAGTGAATTCGTCACTTTTAAGGGTTAAATAGATTTGTCTGTTCAGATTTAACTTAATAAAACTGTACCAATAATTTTCTCAAACCATATTCAAAATGAGTGTTGAAGAAGAGGTCATGAAAATTCAGAAAAAACTTACAAAAATGACTTCTGGGGATGGTTCTGTAAGTGTTGTGTGTGCCCTGTTTGCTAGAATTTCTTCTATTTTGTATAGCTTTAGACGGCATACTGTCGTATTAATTATTCATAGATAAAGAAATTAAAAACTTCATACGCACACAACGCGACATTGATTACAGTTATTGCACATTTTTACATTCGAGTTGGGTTTCCCCTAATCCAGGACTGTACCTCTCTGTGTGTTTTGTAAACAGTGAGAAGGCCTAGTCTCGATAAGTTATGCCACTTTTTTATTAATTATTGTTTTGCGGTAGAGATGACTATTTAGATATTTATTGTGTTATTCATTTAGCCTATTCCAACATGGCTCTCTGGCCAGTAGGCCCTAACTCAGTTAAAATTACAGTATAAAAATTCAAAAAGATTTCTGAGGGGTCTGGGTACCTAGTAACTTATATGGAGTACCCACCGTAGGGGGTTTCGGGGGAGAGCCCATGGAAAATGTTGAAGAATTAAGTTATGTCTGAAATATTTGTTTTGAAGAGCTATTTTCTCACCTGGAAACTGTAACTTAAGATTTAAGCTTAGGCCTAACTTAAATGTTAATTTTCTAGGCTAACTGGCTGAATTTTTATAGGTTTTGTTGCTTCAGTTACGTTTTGCCGCATGTGCATTACAATACCAACGCTAAGCTACTGAACTTTTAACCATGTCTACAATTCTTTTTATTTTGCAAAAAAAATCACATTAAACTTAAGTTTAACTTAAGGCCATCTAAGTTTAACTTAAATTCTGATGGCGCAATGAAACGTCATGTGTCTATGTCAGTGTTATTCCAATCGCAGTCGATGTTGTCTTGTATTGTTTAATAGTTGTAGGCTACATTTTATGTTTAAGTTAATTTAATAGCCTTTAGCCTCTCATCTGAGTTGATTATAAGTGTTTTTTACCGTTAAAATCATTTTGGCTCATACCGTCACGTTGTGACGGTGAATTTTTAACTTATAAGCATCAACGGCAAACCGTCACCCGGTGACGGGTTGGCCACTGCTAGGGTTAAGCTTGCCAGACGGGGATTTTATGGGGAAATTTATTACCACCCTCCACCACAACAAAAAGCAAGTCACACACTACATGCTAACGTGGTATAGGGCCGGATGGTAAATTACTCTTCAGCGGCTGTTTGAAATGAACAAAATTAACATTGCTCTTATAGCGAGCAAATCCAAGATGACCGTTAGCTTCTGTGGACTCCCTTGGTAAACAATTTGAAACTACAAAGAACATTTCTAATCTCACAGTATACTAGATATTTAAATTAAAATCATTTTGGTGTTTGAAAAACTATTTGTGGACGATAAAATAGGCCTAACTCTTGAAATTATCCAAGATGGCCACTAGTCTCCAAGGACTCTCAACTAAGTTATGAAGTATGATTCACAGTTTTGGATTTTGTACACTCGAGGCTGTATAAAAAAATGGATTTTTTTCATATTCAGTATTAGTAACTAATATTAAAGTATTGTTGTACGCATACGCCTAATGGTTACGGAGAAAATAAATAAAAACTGTAAATTTAAAATTCTCAAGGTAATCTTATGGATAATAAATAAACGGTTAAAGTTTGATTGTTTAGGAATACATTTTGATCAAATTTAGCAATTTTGTTTATTTTATACTAAGCTATTACCGTAACATTTAAGTGAAATAGGTAGGCCTACTGTATACAGTGTGCAAATAAACGGTCAGTTTTAATGAGATTTTGGGGACGTTGGTTTAACTGGAAAACCCGTTATCTAGACTGGCCTCGGTCCCAAAGAGTCCGGATAAGAGGAAGTTTACTGTAGGCTATACAACTTAAAGATGAGAAAATAGATGTTGCTGTAAACTATAGTACTATAGTTTGCTCCTGTTGCTGTGTTTTCAAGCAATATGTTTTCATCTTTTCATAATATTATGTTAAAATATAAATCTTAAGACAAATAATTTGTTTATATTTTTTATAGAGCCAAGATCAAGCCTTGGATTTGTTAAAAGTCTTGCAAGGATTACCTGTCAATCTAGAGATTCTGACGAAGACCAGGATTGGAATGACTGTCAACGCCCTTCGCAAGTCAAGCTCTGATGATGAGGTCATCAGCTTGTCAAAAACACTCATCAAAAACTGGAAGAAGTTTTTATCTGGTTCGTTACCTTATGTTTCTACTGCAACACCTTAACAATATTAACATAGGACTAGGCCTATTTAAAAAAGTTTATGTTTCAAACGCCTAATGAGTGGAGTTCAAGGAATTGATAATTGTGATGTATTAATTTCATAGTGAATGCTTTGATTCCCTTGTACCTTAGAGAAACTATGATTTTTTTTACATCATCATTTTAGAGAAATGTTTTTATAGGTGCATTTTTTATTGTTCTTGAATTGTTTGTAGCTAGTGGCAAAGAAACACCTCCAAGCAGTTCAAAGAAGCCCAGCACAGGATCTAAGGATAAAGAGGACAAACCTAAAGAACCTGAAAAGAAAGAAAAAGAAAAGGAAGTGAAAAAGGCTCCAGCTTCATTCCCTCCAAGTAACACAACTGATGCTGTAAGGCTGAAGTGTCGAGAGCTGCTATGTACAGCCATCAAAACAGACGGCCGTGAGTAAAATCAAGCTTTAATAAACACTAGATAGATGGTTATGAGTCAGCTTAGAATGTTAGACAGTTTACTGGGGATGGTCGTTTTGTTATAAAAGGGATTGCACCTCTTTTAATCTGGCATTTGTTTGCCTCATAGGCTTCGAGTCTGCGTGGAACGCATCCAGCAAAGCAAGTGGGAACCAAACTGATAAAATTGATTGCATGCACCAGGACGTAAAATCACAACATCGTTACTTAGGATTTGTTGGCCACTGAGCCACCAATTCTCCAACCGAATACCTACCTTTAGTTCAGTTTACTTGTCACCTTACAAAGCCGTTGAACATTTTATTATTTATTAGCTCTTTTTATAGCATAGCAGCAAAATATAATGTTAAAACGGGTAAACATTAAATACATTAATTTAGTTGTCTATTCTCAAAAAATGTCTTAAATGTTATAAGCTTGGAGAACAAGTTAAAGTGGTGAATATGTGTGTTTCAAACTTTTCTATTTATTGAATACCAAAATAGTTTAAATACATTTTTCTAGATAACTTTTCAACCACTTAACCTGTATTTGTTTAGTAACAAACAGAAGCTCTTACTTTCTATAATGTGATCGTCAAATATTAGGCTAGGCCTATGCTGAACACGGAAAATTTAGAAAATATTTAAAAATTTGTTTGTTTACTATTTTGAAGAGTTTTTTTTATTATGCCCATACATTCCATATGTAGACTATAGCCTATTAAGATTAAACACATTTTCGTGTTAGGCCCTACTGTTCAATTCTGGTTTATATAGAACATTGCCTGGTAAAACCTGAGTTAAAGGTTAAAGGTAAAAACTATTGAAGGCATAAACTGTCAAAAATTAACGATAAACCATTAATCATCCAGTAAAAATCTTCTGTTATACATGTTATACTCATAGTTCTTGTGAGATAGCAATGAATATTTTTTTTATCTTTTCCATTGATCGGTTCAGGGGTGAATTGGACTCATAACTGAACTAGGATTGAAATCTTTGATGTTTATCAGCTCAATACTGTATTGTTTTACAGTTGCCGAAAACATGGAAGGCTGTGCCACTCCTGAGGAGTTGGCGGAAGAGTTAGAAGAATGCATTTATCAGGAATTCCACAACACAGATAACCGGTACAAAAACAGGATCAGGAGTCGGGTTGCAAACTTGAAAGACTCAAAAAACCCTCAGTTGAGAACAAACTTCTTAGTTGGTGCCCTCCCTGCTTCAAGGCTAGCAGTTATGACTGCCGAGGTTAGTGTAAAAACGGGACTAATATTATATGATACAGCTCTTAAGGCCCGATTTCCTAGCTGCCGAATACAGCTGCTATTTTCGGCACTGGCTCGAATACACAGAATTGGGTTCAGTAGTTTCCCTAGCTGCCTATACACAGTTTGATTCTGTCACAGCAGGCTTCGGGATGGGTGACTGCTCCAAGAACAGTCAGTTCCACATCCCGCACCAGGATGGCACTGTTGTGAAGTAAAGTGTAGTAGAATTCTTGTGTTCGTGGAGTTCGTTGTAGTAGTATTTGTGTCCCACATTATGTCCAGTCAAAATAGGTTTTAAACGTCTGAGGATAAGCAATTGAATACACCTTCCCTCTTCCGAGTAGTAAAGAGTCCAAGTCTTCAATGAGTGAACATAACATAACAGTGGAAATCGTTCATCTCTTAAATTTGCTTAGCACTGCATTGTGTCTTTTAAACCTCCTAGCTTAAAAAAAGCAACCTCTCGGGAGCTAAAACTGGTGCTATGCACCACTCCGCACCGAGTGTTGCAGATCTAGGAAAACGCTTTTGCAGAAAAACGCATATGATAATAATATAGTGTGACATTTAAAACCCCCCAACCAAATACAGCAGCGTTTTTCAGCAGCTAGGAAATCGGTTCTTTAGTGAATTATCACTGGATCTTTGACCAAAATAGTGATTTTTACTTTTGAGGATCAAGGCATGTCAGCTATTCTACAAATCAAAATCCTGGCCTTGAGTATTTCCTTAAAAAACCTTTACCAGGATTGTTTTTATGTTTATTGTTAGTTACTACATGGGTTTTATGTTACTACATAGGCTTATTATTAGTTTTTAACAAAGCCCAAGAACCGAAAATTTCAGAATATTTTTAGGCAAAATGTAGTTAATCATGTGACAGGAATATCATGTTAGCATTACAAAAAGCGAACTATTTGGTGAAACAGATTCTGAATGTCGAGGGATTGAGGCACAACATTATCAAGGTACATTTTCAATCGGTGGGAATTATTACTATGTCACTGCGGCCACTTCAAATGGTTATGATGTTGCATATTATCGCAGTGAGTCTGTAATCAGATTCTGACTGTTGGGAATAATTGGATCCAGGTTTGAAAATAAAAAGAAAACAATTTAATAGGAGCACTGAAAGAAATATTTTACTTGGATAATGCTTTTTCTCAACATTTTAACTGCTATTATGTAATCTGCGCGGTAAGAGGACTCTCTGCCAGATCTGTTCAGAGGTTGCATTACTTGTGGTTGGTGTAACCGGGTTTTTTGGCCACAGCTTGTAGCGTGCATTTGGCAATACTGAGTGCCTAAAAGTACAGTTCGGCCAAAGTTTCTGTGTGCGCAACCAGATCTGGTTGGGTCTAGGCGAGGGGGTTGGCGGGGGTTACTTTGTGTCTTGCTGCTCACTCATCCCTATCTTCAGCACTGCAAATAACCGGTACCCGTATGTTTTAGTTCGGCTAGTAGCGACCCATCTGTGCGCACAGAAGTTTTGACCAAACTGTAACTGTCCAAGTCCTAAAACCTGTATATTTTGTTATAGATCTACTTCTCAAACACATGCTTTACTGTGTTCTGTTGGATTTAACAGATTCCAATAATTTTCTTCCCCTCATCCGCACTTAGTACATTGGCCGTTCCCCTTCCTTGTCGCAACTGCAGCAAAAGTGTAAAAATAGTTTTGAGCAAAAGTGTAACATTTGACTACCCGCAGGAAATGGCCAGTGACGAGATGAAGCAACTTCGTAACAAGTTCCTAAAGGAGTCAATTGATGACGCTCAACTGGCCACAGTACAAGGCACGAAGACTGATCTGCTCAAATGCGGCAAGTGTAAGAAGAGGAATTGTACCTACAACCAGGTGGGTTATTTAACCATCTCATGCGATAGGCCAGCAAACTGCCTTTGGGATAGTCAATTTGAACCTATTATTGTTTGTTTTGGACATTCATTGAGTTTTCACTGTTAAATTCTATTTTTAGGACTGAATTGTTGAGTTAATGAACTATTAGTTACAAATTCTATCAAAGCTTTGTCTTACAATAATTAGATTTATCATGATATCTAAGTGGATTCAGAGATAACTTTTCAAATACCATATTATGCCGTTACTTAACAACAAATTGTTAGGTTGGCTACCTTTGCAAAAGTCTTTCTTACAGCCTCATTGTAGATTGCTTTAAAGTAAATATAGGCCTAATAAACTGACTCAACAGATCTAGTGCCACTCCCAAAGTTAACTCTTGACTGACTACTAGTGCTTACAAACTGATTATTCTAGTTGAATTATACTACTGATGCACTATTTGTTTCTTTTTTTTGAAAAAAAACATTACTTTTGGAAATTAACTATTATGATTTATTTTAATAACACTAGAAACAGTTACATGCTCTTATTATGTTGTTTTCAGATCCAAACGAGAAGTGCTGATGAACCAATGACCACTTTTGTATTATGTAACGAGTGTGGAAATCGATGGAAGTTTTGTTAAGGTTTTTCTGGCAAGTGAATAATTTAGTTTGGGGCTTACGTGTGGTATTCCTGATTGTTCTAACACAGTATTTTGTTTGTTACTAATCCAAACGCTTACTAACATCAGAATAGTTTTTGTGTAAAACACTTGCCCACATTGAGGAAGAAGAAGAATTCTTCACCTAACAGGAGAATTCTGGAGAGTTTATAGCACATAGTAGACTCTTGATAATATGACATTATTCGGTCCTGTAATATGACAATGGCTCAGCAGTAATATCTTTCATAATTGAGAGAGAGAGGGAGGTAGCTTTAATCTATCTCCTTGAAGTGAACAATTCTAACTGTACCAGTTTTGTATCTACCTTTCTACTAAATTCTTCTGAAGAACTCGCTTTAGAGGGACAAATTTTCAGTTTAATTAACTTTTTGTGTGCTATCAACGCCCTAGAACGGTTTTCTCCAATGAGTTAGTTTTGTATCTGTTCCTTCTTCCTTAATGGCATCAAAATAGTTAAGTTTAAATTTTTCAATGCTTTATGTTTTGAGTTATTGTTAGTTATCGTTAGTGCACAAATAAACGCTTCACAGCAGAATTTTCAAATGGTTTTCAACTAAAAAATCTCATGTTTGCAAGCTAAAAAAATTGTTAAATTCTATTATTGTTTGGACTACTAGATGGCACATTTTTATTTTGGCACAAATATTTAAATTGACATTGAAGAGATAACTAACAAATTCTTAATTGTTTGCAACTTTTCATGTGAAATAGTTCTCATTAAAGCACAAGTACAGTACACTCCCTCTTATACGAACACCTTTTAACCGGACATCGGTTTAACCGGACTACACTCTGCAGAAATTACATCTCTTTAACCGAACTATATCGGCAGGAAGTGGGCGGTACTGAAACGACTGTTCTTGTGGGAAAGATTTGAGACCAGTGATCACGTGTCTAAATATGTAATAATCATTATTGGCATATACAGTATGGATTTAAACAGTCCGTTTTAACGAGTTTTTGGGGACGTCGGTTTATCCGGACTGGCCTCGGTCCCGAGGAGTCCGGGTAAGAGGGAGTTTACTGTAGTTGCTTACTCGTTACATGTTTTGCTTACACATAATTTTAGTTTTGATTTTTTCACCTGCCTAACAAAAAAAATGAATAAATTAAAAAAGTCCATTCTTCTTGTATCATGATTTAAGCTGGAGAAAAAGTGGCAGCTTCAGTCTATAGTTGCTGACATGCTACCTGCAATAACATTATTGCTGTTGTTAACTTAAATATAAAAACCCATTTTGCAAGAGACTATTGTTCATAAGGTCATAATCTTCTGTAATGTAATATGATTGACATGTCACGACCAAAACATTGTATTTTGATGTTAGTTTAACACGCTCATTAGGGGTGTGCGAATAGTGATTTTCAACCTCGAGCCGAGCCGAGCCGAGCTTTTTAAAATATTTTCGAGCTCGAGCTTTTTCGAGCCGAGCTTTTCCTAGCGTCACCTTATAATAATAATAATAATAAATCTTTATTGTCGTTTGGTAATATAAACATTACAATAGACAAGGTCAACATGTTTTGTTACATATGTTAAATAAAATATTAAATATTCTACAGAAAATGTTAAAATAAAGTTAAAAGGATAAAGCATCAGTAATAATAAAAACTTTAAAATTAACAGGGAAAAGACCATAACAAGAACAAAGAATCATCAAGACTGCTTGGCCTCACATTTAAGCGTTAAAAAATCTTCATTCTGCAAAAACTCATCAACTGAATAAAAAGCACGACTTGTAAGCCAATCTGATAATTTTGACCTATACAAATGAATACTTTCCTGATTTCTAAAATATATTGGAAGTTTATTAAATAGTTTTATTTGCAAGTATTTATAACTTTTGATAAATTTTGATAGCCTGGCTTGAGGAATATATAAATCTTTTGATTGTCTGGTGATATACCCATGGATTGAGTTGCAAGGAACAAATTTATTCAGATTCTCTTTAACGGAAACTAAATTGTAAAAAATGAAAATATTAGAGAGTGTTATGATTTTATTTTCAGCAAAAAATGTTTTGCAACTAACCCTATCTGGAATTTCAAACATAATTCTGAATTCTGAACATTATCAAAAAAATAAATTATTAAACATTTTTCTTCAAAAAGTGCATAATAGGTAATAATAATGTTCAGTCAATTTTTAAATAAACACAATATTATTTTAATATGTCTAAAAACATTGAGAATTGTCAAGACATCAAATAGTAGATAATCACGATAAGAACTGAACTGAACTAAATTAAGATGCAAGAAATAAAAGGATATGATTGAAGGCCTGACGAGATATGCAGTGCAGACTGAGCCAATCAGATTGTCTTTCATAACAGAACAGAGCTATCTTGAATGACAACAAAACAACTAGCAAGTCGATTAAATATGTATATTGTAACTACTATGAATATTTTATTCCATTTTGTATAAATAAATAAATATAAAAACACGTGATTATTCTTGTTGTTTTCCATGCACAAAATATTTTTGTTTTATGAATCGTATTAATCAAAAAGAACATGATTGGTTTGGATCCAAAAAGGTGAAGAGACAAAGTAAAAAGTAAAATTATATATTAAAAAATATATAATTGACATATAGAGGAAATAGACCAAAACACTAAAATTAATAGAATAACACACAAAGTGAACAAGAAATGAAATAATGAACACGATGATTTAACACTGTCACTAAATTCTGTTATCTAGAAGGGTCGGTGAACTAATCAATAAATAGCCAAAACCAGTTTCCTCCCCCATTTCTCTCTCAGTCTCACCACCACCCCTCCCCCCCTGAGCCGGGAGGCCCAGCACTTTGTCCTTGAAACACCCTAGCCTCTGAAACAATAAACCCTTACACCCGCGTTGCTGTTTTGACAACAGGGTTATGAATGCATTCACTATTTTTCATTTTCCAGGATTAACTCTCAATTATTATTATTTGCAAGTTACAAATAGGAAACTACATCACATTATGGTATTCAATGACCCATGTATTATCAAAAATTAATAATCCATTACTTATTTTGATAATAAAAAGCATTCATTACAGCACGCACCACTTATTGATATTTAAATAATCATCAAAGTAACTGTTAATTTATACAAAATAAAATAGGTACAAAATTGTGTGGCCAGTCAAACTTTATAAACAAACATTTTATTCTATAAAATACAGATGGTAAATAGGGGTTGGTTTAAAGGAAATAAAATACAAAACAGATAATTAATTATTTTGATAAACATTAGAAAGGTTATGGGATTGATTGAACTAAAATAACCGCAGGGAAACTTATAAGTAGAAAAGTCGTCAACCACAATCTGTTTAATCAGTACATTGTTAGAGAGAGCAGAGAGAGAAAGAGAGATAGCAGATAGGGGCGTTTGATAAGGAATCTGAAAAAGTAAACAAACAAGGAACAACGACACGACGATTGATACTTGTTTATAGCCTTATTGTGTCGCCCACTACATTTGCACACGTGACCACTTTTTGTTTCTTCCTTATCTTTCATCCGTCCCAAAATAGAATTCCTGAAATTGTTTGTTGGTATAATCTCCCCTCCCACACAAGGCGCAGTGCTCAGTGCGCACTGTAGGTTGTCACGGCAACCGTGTGTCGTCATAGCGACGAGCCAATCACGCACTCGCACTGCGTTGTATATTACGATATGAATAGCTGTGTTAGAAAGACAACGCGATAGGTGGTGTGGTAGTTTGTCTCTTTACTATCTCCTCAAAATTACGAGATAATCATTGCGGCTTGACTGAGCTGAGGTTCGTGCTTATCAAACCTCGAATGATTGAACAAAGAATTGTGATAACATTGTTTCAAATTACGACCCAAATTAAGTGTTTTTTTTAGTTTTGACTTAGTATTAAAAGCTCGGCTCGAACTTCGATCTTTTTCAAAATGCCTCGAGCCGAGCCGAATAATGAAAAGCTCGACCAAAAAGCTCGAAGGTTCGAGTACTCGCACACCCCTAACGCTCATGCCATTTAACGATATCCTAGTTCCGATCGTAACCATTTCCTTTTTTTCGTTAATAGATTATCATTCCATGATATTTACGTCTTACTACAAGTCGCTGCTCTAAATCAACTTGGAACAATTTGATGCAATCATATGTCCTGCATCATTGATAATTATAACCAACCACATCTGGTGCTAGTAACAGATCCAGGAAACTATCTATTTACTTCCTCCAGATACCCTTAGGTTACCAAACTAGTATGTCACTGAAACATGGGTGTTGTGAGACTGCCACTGTTTTTATATCTACAAATTACAGGGTGTCCAGCCAGGAAAACCGGGAAAATCTGGAATTTTGATGACCGGGGAAAAATCTGTAAATTTTGTAAAGAATCTGGAGATTTTTTATGTTTGAATAGTAGTTGAAACATTTTGATTTTTCTCATTTTAGGTAGTTGAATATGGCGATTGCAGGAAACTATCACGAATAACAGACGTTGCCGTGGTTGTAAAAAAAGACACTGGAGTTGAAGTAATCACAGTTGTTGTCACGATCACAATATATTAACGATGTTATGGCCGCGATAGTGAATCAAAGGCGTTGACTTGATCATCTGGAAGATAAACTGCACATATAGTTGCACGACCGCCGGGAATCTTCACGGATGTTGCCGTGATAGTAGGAAATAATAAGAAATTTTGCCTTGGCTGAAAAATATGATCATCTTAGCTGTGATTTTGACGAATTATCTCAGAATTTGCCAAGGTGTTTTTAAATGTGCTGGCATGTATAAGCAAGTAAGTTTTTCATATTTTGAGCGGAAATTTTTGTCTTGGAAATTTAGAATTTTGAACCTGGAAAACCTGGACTGGAATTGTCTTTGAATTTAGTTTTGGAATAGGATAAAATCTACTGAAATCTCAAGCGATTGGGAAAGAAGAGAAGAAGATGTGATTTAAAAAAAATAAGGAAAGGAGGATGTCATATGTTCATGTTGTTATATCTTATATTCATTTCAATCATTATTAGCATCAGCTGTGGTTGATATTTGTTTATGTTTACTTTGAATTCAGGTTATTAAGAGATTTTGGTAGAAACCAAGGCAACACTAAATAAACAGGTCGTAATGCTCATTTGGCATGACGTCATAATAGACAACGGCAATGACGTAATGTTTGCCGTTTGTGATCAGCTGCTTTTTAAAATCTTTTCTTGGTAAACAAAACTATAACTAAAAAAATAACATTACGTCATTGCCGTCGCCTATGATGACGTCATGCCTGAGTAGCATTACGGCCTGTTTATTTAGTGTTGCCTTGGTTCTACTCAGTAGCCTGAAATTTAAATTCAAGATGGTGGATTATATGGATTGAAATATAGTTTGGGATTGAATGCCTCTAATGTAAAATCTCTCAACATTCTAAAACTGATTTGTTTCCAATAATTGTGTGCTTTTTGTGCTCTTAACATATCAGAGCTTGCAATGGATGGGGGAAAATTCATTTTTAACCATTTGGAAGTTAAAATCACATGTAAAAAGACTAGTTTACGGATTTTGAAAATGATTTTGTGAATAAGTCTTAAAGAAACAATTACGAAGTTTCAGTTCATCCAGTGCATAGTTAGGATCTTTGTGAATATTTTACAGTATATTTCAACACTTTGATAATGCGACGAGGTTCTTTTTTGTAAGGCCATGTTTACGTGGTAAGAGCCGGTGGGTGGAACCGTCTTAAATCAATTCATTCAGAAGTCTCTAAAATCTTATTCAATCTCATTATTAACCCTATTATTCGACCGATGGGATTCTGGACATCCTGAATTATCTTTTGATCATATTCTCTACTTATCAAATTTCAATCTAAATTCCGGCGCCATGCTCTCAGTGGATGCCTCTATTAGGTTTTCTATTGTAGAACTTCTGCAGATTAAAGGAAGTTGGATTTTGCCTTTATATAAATGTTTTTTTCCAGGTACAAACAAGAAGTGCTGATGAACCGATGACCACGTTTGTGCTCTGCAACGAGTGTGGCAACCGGTGGAAGTTTTGTTAACTTAATCATCATCAGTTATCATCAGTGGCACATTCTCCCATGAGATCATATTTTTTCTACTCTTTTACTGACTTGTGAAATTTTACCAATAAAAAGAATTCAGTGATTATCAATCAGCACATCACTGAAAGCGTGTTTTAAGTTCTACTATATGGGGTTTTATGCTTCTATTATACAAGTGTCCAGTAAATCTTTTGCAATAAACAATCTGGTTGCCAAGGTGCATTTATTATATAATTAATTAATCAACAGCATAAATTAGCGCAAAAGAAAGTTGCTCCAAACTATCTGGGAGTTCTTTGTATTGAGGTTCTACTGAAAAAGATAATTTTATACTCGTAACTAATTATTGTTGTGAAATTCTGTAATGTGTATATATGGTGATTATTATTTTTTGCTTTACTCTTTTGACTGAAAAATTTTTAATTGGATATTTTACTATGATTATTTTATTGTTAAAAGATATGTGTGAACTTATACATGATGTGATGAAGTGATATGTCCAGCGATCTCTCAAACTTTTCTGTTGGATAATTGTGGAAGTGTTTTGTTTAATTTTTGCTAAAAATGTTGTAGATATTATTTAGTAAACATTTGAAGCTAATCTGTCTCAATCCATTTATTTACTCAACCTTGAAAACCAAACAAAAACTTGATTTTAATTTGGAGGCAATGGTGAAGGATTTTAAGAAATAACAAGTATGATTTTTAAAAGACTTTTGGGAACAGTTTCCATCTTGATAAAAAACAAATATTTCATTATGTTTCCAGCTCTGAAATCTGATCTTGTCCTAAGATGATAAAGTGCCAAATGCCTTACATGTTTGTCTAACAAGCTAAGTACACACAGTGCACTGCCATTTTTGTTAAAATCTTGTTTTTCTAAATTTATTTTATAGGTCTATAATTTAAGTTATTTTATAAGTGGCTGGGATGGTGGCGTCGTCCTGTAATCCAGCTACTAGGAGGCCTGAATTGTGGATATTTATAGGCATGCACTGTGGATGCGATGCTCCCTGGTGTGGATTAATGTCCGCACTAGTGAATTAACGTCCGCACTAGTGAGTGCTACAACTATCCGCTGTACTATCCTGATAATTAAACCAATTCGTTAATTACACGTAAAAATGGTGGTTCGGATTCCACTATAAACTGTAGGTCCCTTAGCTACCATTGGCTGTATGGGCTATTAATTAACAGCTGTGTCTAAGGAACATGTCGGCCTTAGTCACTAACAAGACTACAAGATCGCGCCACTCATCTTCTCTTGTATTTGGGTTAAAATACGCACATAGTGGCGTCCCTATCTTAAATAGTTTATAAATTGATAGGTTTTATGGAAAAATCCATGTTAGTCCTCGGCTTTGCCTCGATCATAAAACTTTACCTCAGGTCAATAAGAGTCACTTTAGGCTCTAGTGATGAAATATACTATTCTCAGCTCCTGTGCATCGCAGGGAAAATCTAAGCATACTGTTAGAAAGATAGATGTGCAGAATCTGAAACACTTGCATCGACTTCTGATTCAAATCGTGTTCCAAAATAATTTGGGTGAGCATAAATTTGTTTTGTCTGATGGTTTACTCATTTGAGATACTTTTGGAGGTGATACAAGTTGTTAGTTGATAAAATGTTTTAACTTTCATTTCACACTATAAATTAATTACTGCTCTGCTACACACATTAGTGACTGTTTTCATCTGGAACCTGATCCAAGTATCTTAAGCATTTTACAATACTTGGAGCCACTTTTTATCAATAAATCTAAGAAAATCTTAGCTGCGCAACTCAGGCCATGTGTTTCTTTCAAAGAAAGTAACACAATCATTTCATAAAAAATATACCTTATAGTTTAAAAACGTAACTTGATGTAATAAAAATCAAATTTTAAGTGGGCACCACAGCTCAAATGCTCAATCTCATTCAAACTATACTGCTTTTATAGTAAAAAACCAATGAAAATTACCAATTGTGTTTTGTAAAACTTTTACAGATTTTAATTGTGCACATACTCTTAACTCCCTCTCACATTCCTCAACATTCACCTATTTCCCTACAAGTTCCACCGACTAAATGAAAAGGAATGGAATAAATGACCATTACAGTGTCCTTGACTAGTGACATCATTTAACCATTTTACACAGGAAGATCGCACCTGACAAGAAATGACATCACTGACACGCTGGCTTGGCTACACTGATTGTTCATGGTCATTAATCAGTTAGCCAGAGAGAGAGAGATGGCTCTCATTGTCAAGCAGTACCAATAGACCGTGAGGGTCAGCTGATAACAGGTGTTGAAAAGGGTGGGATTTCCTGTGGGGTTTCAGCTCAATTCACTCCAGTTACTACAGCCTGATAATGTGTGTTTATATATTCCTGCTCCTTTACGTCTCACAAGTCTCAGGTTCGCGGCTTGCTGGGTTACGACTGCAACTGGGTTCTGCACCTTTGATGACAAAAGGTTAGTTATAGTTGAGAATAATGTATTGATTTAGTCTGTGGATTTGTTAACTCTTTATTTATGTTAGCACAAACATGTTGAATAAAGTTTAGTTTATAATTTAGCCCTTTCTTCACACTGACATAAATTGCATACAATAATAATATATTCATTTAGGTTTTACTTATTTTTTTAGCAACAGTTATAGTTGATGCACACACAGGACTAATAATTTTGTAAGTATGTTTTAACTCAGTTAAGATTGTAGTACACAAATTATAAATTGTTATGAATTGTGAAATATAAGTATGAGCCGTTTTTTCATTACTTTTAAGAATAAGAATATTTATTTTCTCCCCAGTAAATAAAATTATTACAGAAATTAATTATATTAGACAGTGCACAATACAGAACAGAAAAATTTTAAATGATAAAAAAAGTAAAAGTAAAGTTACAACCTTGATGATTCCCAGTTATATTTTATGTATTGTAACAATTTGATAAGCTACTTGAAGACAGACTTTTCTAGTTAGCTTGTACATTTTTTTTTATCTGACAGTCTGTTAGGATCTGTATCTAACTGTTTTGAAACAATGATCCTGGCTATAAATGAGAGTTTAGCAATTAAAAGGATTAATCCAATTGACGTGTGTTGCAATCAATAAACTAGCTAGCTCATTCAACTTGCTTCATTACGTTCTGGTCGATCGGTTTGGTAAGGTTGGGATAAAGAATAATTTTTGTACGTGAAAGACAAGTAAACATAAAAACCATAAAGAAATTTTGTCTGTAATATTTTTTATTTTTAAATTTTTTTACTGAACCTATGTAAATTTGAGCAAAAAATAACACTATTTTTACTTTTTAATAGGGTCATATTCAAACCCTGGCATATAATTCATTTAATGAATTTTGTTTTATGTTATGAGAATAATTAATGAAAATTTAAATTTAGGTCTACCTATCCTGGGATGGCAAAGAGCATTCCGGTAATCACTTATCTTTGTTTTAAAGCTCCCTGGTATCAGTGCTGCTGTAGTAATCTAATATAAATTAATTGATTGCGTCCAGTTACTGCATATTTTTGTTGCAGAGCAAGTGTGCAGCAAATCCCACGTGGAAGTGAGTGTGTCCAGTCGCATGGACAAGAAGACAAACCGCCGTCTGCTGATCAGCTGGTGGGTGCCTCAGGTGGAGTCAGCTGATATGATCGCTCTGTACGTGACAGACCCTGAGGTCAACCTGACCTCCCCTGTATTTACTCTCTCCCCCTCCTCCACCTCTGGCTGGAGTCACACCCCTTTGAGCGAAACTTACCTCAACTACAGGGACACATTCATCCCCCAGTGTCTGGGCTATTGGGTCATTTACTGGCGAGGATTTGAGAGTAAGTAAAATAAACGGTACAGTATCATCAATCTCGCACATACTTTCTCCCATTAGCTTGTTAACAACTATCATGGGTAAGCGGTGGGAGTAACAACTATGATATTTTATGGGAAGAATTCAAAAGCTGCAATTACTTTAAAACCATAATATTTACAGCAATGTCGGTTGTACTGTTTTGTTTAGAACTATAAAAACCATAACATACTAAATTTTAATCAAAATCGGTTTCAAGCGGAATTTTAAAATGCTATTTTCTCTTAGTTAATGGGTTTTATAGCAAAATTAGCATTTAAAGTCAAAATTTCATAAGGTACCTATAAGTTAGGACTCGCACACAAAATTTTAGATTAAATAAGTTAGTTCAGGCACCTAATCTTTTACAAAATTGAGCACTGAATAGAGATATTGGTGTAGCTAATTTAATCTTTCCTAGACCTTTTTATATTTTGAATAAGTGGTTGGTACACAGGTGTAATGGCCAGTTAAAAGTCGTTTATTACATAATTGTATTTTGAAGTTTTTACTTATACAAAATTGTCATCTCCTTTAAACACGTATCCAGAGGTAGCATCGTCATGTCTTCAGACTCATCCCACCTGGATGTGGGATCACCGGGATCAGCTGGGAAGATTCCGGATGACTGAATTGTTCCTGCCGGGAACACATGACTCAGCAGCCTACTCCGTCAGCTTTGAAGCTCGTGAACTAACTCGCTTTGAAAAGTATGTCTTCACACAGGTAAAACTAACAGTAGTGCCAACTGGTTGACACAGTGTTTTTGTTTTTAATAAAAACTTCTGCTATAAGATTATAAGTAAAAATATTTTGCTATTGTACAACTAAAAAAGATAAGAAAATAGAGTAGTGTTCATAACAGTAAAAAAAATGCCACTTGAATTCAATGAACATATTACTTGAAACGAATAATCAAATGTTTTTAAGCTCTGAAATTGCTAGCTACAACATCTTTTATAGATATACTAGCTGACCCGGCGAACTTCGTATCGCCTAAGTTATAGGTTTCCCCTAAGACAGACCGATGGAAAGAAAGTACCGTTACGTTTAATTTTCAAGATGATCTCGTTCGCATCGCTCAATCACGTCCTGGTTGAAGTTCGTTCGCTACACTCACTCACCTTTTGGTTGCAAATTAGCTGTTGTCATAAATGTAAAAGAAATAATAGTGCTGCACCCTGTTGGTAATCCTTGTAACTTTAATGCTATTGAACATCATAGAACAGAACCAACTTGTTTAATTGAAACACCTGTTAAGATTCATTAATTCCATTTCTCATAAGGTTAACATGGGAAACTCCAGAGCCACTGGGGCGGAGCCCTTTTAAGAATTTCGAAACGGGAAATAGTTAACGTCCGATTCGCATACCTACAGAATTTACACACCAAATTTCATAACGATCGGTGAAGTCGTTCCGGAGGAGTTTGCAGACAAACACTGTGACACGAGAATTTTATATATTAGAGATATTTTTATTTTTTTTTTTTTTTTACCCAAGTTTCTCATCTCAAGCATTTTTAGTCTAAAATAAGGCAGCTTAGTTCTTTTAATTAGAAAAAACTTTTGACTTTAATTTTCATTGTAGTATGAGTAGCCTTCGGATTGCGAGGAATAGCTAATAATAATAGTGGTAAATACCTGATTATGGCAATCCAATTGTTGTATTCCAATGACAATCAAATGTATCGAAAGTATGTAACTGGCTTTAATCGGCTGTAGCTTATTTTTTGCATTCTTGTTAACAGTTTGACACATTGATTGTATAATGTACACTGACACAATTGAAATTGTTGAAATGAATCTCTTACTAAACAGCTGCTTGTTTGCAATTGCATCAGCTAAATTGAAAATAAGTTAGAAGTAGTTTTGAGTGGTTATCTATACATGAATAGTTTTGTCGTTTTCTAACTCCATATGCTTAAATAATGTGCAATATGACAAAAAATAAAGTTAATCACACGGGCAAGTTGATAAAACTTGAACTCAGGTTGAAGAGAGTCACTTTAGCCCTAGTGATGAAATTACTCTTTCTAATGGGGTTTCCAATTAGTTTTCTTCAAATATTTCACAGGAGGAGTCAGTATTATCACAACTGATCCATGGAGTTAGATATCTCGACATACGACTTGGACATCACAAGAATGAAGGATTCTACACTCATCATGGATTTGTCAAGCTCAGGCACTTCCAAGGGGTTATAGACGATGTGATTGTTTTTCTCAACAATTCAAGGGATATTATAATTTTGGACCTGCATCACTTCCCTGTTGGTAATGTATTTATAATGTTCTGGTATGTTAATAATTAGACAGGGTGTAAATAAAGTCCTGCACGTGTTTAATAGGTTGTAAACAATAACAGATAAATCAATAAGATTTACTAAATCAACATGATGCCTAAAAAACTACTTTTTTAAGGAACTCTCTGTTTTCTATCATATCATGGGGACGTCCCACAAGGAGTCAGAAGGAAATCTTAAATAGAAGCATAAGTTGATATGGCATCTAATTAATAGCCTAATTAATAGTAGAATATAATGCTGCAAATTTGAACTAAAACGGACAACCGAGTCAAAAATTACAGCTGTTCAAAGATTCATTGAATTTGCTATGCTATTTATACGCTACCTTATCAGGGGGGGGGGGCAGCCGCTAGGAATCGGAAGGAAATTGTAAGCGTAAGCATACAGGGGAAAATGGCAGACATTCAAAGATTGAAAATGGCAGATTGAAAAATATTTGAACTATTAGGACTTATAATGTATTTAAAGATATTGACCACGGTCGTCTTTAACTCCAGGCCGCGGCGTGTGGCAACGTCACAAGTGGTGTTGTAACAGCTGTTTTGTTTGTAAGCAGCTAATGGTATTTGTGTATTTACGAAAGCTTGGTTACTGGACTATGAAAATAATTAAAATATTGACTCCGCTTATGTACAGATATATATTTTCAATTCATCTTGTTTTAGTTTTCAATTCTGTATGTTTTATTTTTAATATTTTAATAAATTTATGTTCATAAGTTTAAATTTAAATCAATTAGAAGCGAATTAATGAGCTTATGTCACCTGTCTGCCATGCTATCTTATGGGATGTCTGACACTAAACAACCCTACTTGCGACGTTGCCAATTCTACCAGGCCGCGGTGGCCGTGTATTGACACTGAGTGTTCTAAAATATGTTCTATGGGGATTCATCATTTATTAGGATTTTATTAATGTAATCTCTAAAATGAATCTTAATTCTTAATTGTTCACAGGTTTCAAGACACAAGATGTTCACCACCAGCTGGTCAAATACATAGAGGATCAGCTGTCAGAGTACATGGTGACACCAGCACTGAGTTGGTACTCTACATTGAATGATATCTGGAAGACTGGCAAACAGCTGATAGTATCTTACAACAACCAAGCCGTAGTCGCTAGAGGCACTCACAAGCTATGGTATCCTGTGAGACATCAGTGGGCCGACACTAAGAAACTGGACTCACTCAAGACTTTCTTGGATTCCGTCATGAGGAAGTAAGTTTTGTAGCTTATTTTCTGATTATGTCTGTAGTGGTTTCAGTTTGGTGCCTGTGATATAAGGACATTGATGGGTACTTTCATGGGGAATTTGCAGAACTCCTCAAAGTAAGGGTAAAGTTTAAGTTTGGATGATTTTTTTCATAAACCAAACAATAAAGGGTTTGAACTACTTTCAGAAGGTATTTTTCAGGGTCATATTTCCCATTAGGCAAAACTTTTGTTTAGAATCTAAAGGAGCAACAAAAGTATGATCATTTAAGCAATATTTAAACCTGGAAAGGGGTGCCAGGTTTAATCTGTAGGTAGTGTGCTGATCCTAATAGTACTGAAAACCTTGGGGTTTTGGTATTGTTAATTAGTTTTATATAAACATTTATTTTTACTTGAATTGTCACTCAAACCTTCCTGGATTCTATTGTGAGCATTTAAACGACTTGAAAGCAGGCATTAGAGCTAAACTTTAGGAAGACAGTGGATGGGTATACAAGGATTTGAAAATTATAAACTATTTTAAGTAACATTTCAAACAAATACTGGTGATGCATACTCTTTCACTGCTGTGCTACTCATTATAGCTCATTTGTCATTGAAATAACTTACAGGTAATTAAAAGATTGTAGGAGGGGCGGTGATATAATGTTTTGCAAGGTTTCAGTTTTAACCTGAAATTCTAGATCAAGAACTGGAAATTATTATCAGTAAGTATTTATTGAATGAGTGGAGGATTCAACTGCTGGGTGTATTTATGTACCGTATTTCAATTTTCAAACCAAACCTGAAATATGAGTGTAGAATGGAGTTAGATGCCTTGTGTAGGTTTGATACCACTAATAACAACTGTTTCTCTAGCCATTCCCATAAATGGAGTTGAGGGCAGCTGGGTCTAGTTTGAAACCATCAAACAGGTTCTAAATTTTCTCAGGATCTAACTGGCAACCTGGCGAGCACCATCCCGTGGCAAAATTACTCTACTAAAAAAATCAATATCTTTACTTTTCAAGTTATGTTTCTGATAATACTGTAGTTGTATATTCTCACAGAAGGCCGCTGGGAGCCTGGGCAGCCATGGCAGAGTTGACCCCGGACCGCTGGGACGTACTACTGGACTCTGCTGGAGGCTTACGAACAATGGCAGCCGACACCAACATTATGGTAAAGCAGTTTTGTGGTAATCTCTACACTTTTTATGACCTTCCTTTGCAATTCATACTTCAATCTTCATACTTGCAACATTGATCCATTAAACCATTGCACCCTAGTTGTTCTCATAGTATTTATTATTTAATACAAACTTCTAATCATTATTCCCCTATTATAAGTATGTTTGTGCTATGTAGGTGACAGAGTGGTTCCGTGGAGCGTGGGGAGTCAAATGCAACATAGTAGCCGTTGACTTTATCAGAGGCTCAGGCATTGTGAATGCAGCCATCCAGTGGAACCTCAAGAAAGCATTCAACCTATGTATGTAGCATTGCATTGGTGATCCAAAAAAAGGTTTCAGGACCCAAAAATCTATTTTCTCAATTCCTCGTATTCTCTATATCATGTAGTAACTCAAGAGTATATTTTTATACAGTGTCCTTTTCTTATAAACAGTACCTATAATAAAATGCAGAATTTTTATAACAATGTAACATTATTTTTTTACCTTTTCTTCTATAAAAACCCTTTGATTATGAATCACTATTTGAAAGTAATTCCGGTGATTTGGTAGCTCATTCAGTAGCGTTCTTTTGAACCTCAGTCTCATTCTTACACACGTTAATTGCTCAAATCATCCCACTTCAAATCTTACAACTCTCTTTTCGCAAAACAACATCCTGGCCAAAGCCCACAACTACAGTTTCACGAGTCAGACCCTCATTTTGAGAGATTAGACCAATGGTCTAAATTAACTTTAACTAACTGACCAAACTTGTCAATCAATACGCTTAAGTCAAGACCTGGATTAATAGTGAGTATGTGTAACTGAGAATTGTCCCGTATTTTAACTTTTACCCCAACATTTTATTATGCCTTTGAAAACTCAATGAATAACTGTTGCAAATTATAGTGTCACATTAAATATAAAAGTCCCTAACACAAAGAAACACTATTTTAAGTAAAGTAAGGTTTAATAAAAATTTCATAGGCTATGTATAAAAAACATTTATCAATTATCAACCATTGAGACGGGGACACCACCTAGGTGCGTATTTTAACCCAAATATGAGTGAAGGATGAGTGTAGAATGGTGTGAGATGATCTGTGTAGCTTTGTTACTGACTAAGATCAGCTGTTTCATTAGCCAGGATCATATATTTAAAGCCCAATGATGAGGAACAGCTGGGTCCAGTTTCGAACCATCAAAAAGCTACTGACTTTTCTCAGGATCTAACAAGCGACCTTTTGATTATTAGGCAAGCACTATAACCATTCAGCTACCCAGCCAGTTGGAATGTTTAAAAAACATTATAAGAAACACTATTTTAAGCAAAGTAAGGTTTAATAAAAATTTCATATGTATAAAAACATTTAATATGATACAAAAATTACATGAAAATGAACTACTTAAATACATTATTTTGGTAGGCATAAACATCTTGATCAGTTTGTTAAGCTAAATAGCTAAATATAATGAATTTCATATAAAATACAAAGTTGCTATCTAAACAGTATAAATTTGACCTAAGCCGAAGATTGTTTCAATGTTTCTTTCTTCGTAATGTTTGGATACTCTGTAACAACATTTATTTCTTAAGAGGAGAACATACAATAAATATAGGTAATATTTCAGGTTAGCTAGCTACCAATATACTAGCACTATTTAGAAAAACATTAATTAAAAATCCTTTCACAAACCTTAATCCTAATCCTATTGACCCTTTTTGCATTGTACGGGCTGACGAGTCTACTAAAATCAGCATCAAGAGCACATACAACCTGATTTGTAGTTTTAGACTGTACAAAGATAGTAAAATAACATTTCTGTCTTTCTCTCCAAATATTATACGTGTGAATTGAACAGGCATCAGAAAAGCTAGAAAGGTTGATCAGTTAAAAAAATAAAGTCTTTTATGATAACAAATAAATAGAAACATTTTGTTTACACTGGAGTATCAACAGAAAACAAAACATTTAACCAAATTTAATCTGTGTTAATTCCTTCACTTTAATTCCACCTTCAGTTATATTGCTAGACTTTCATCTTAATATAAATGGAGAATTTATTTCTTTTCATTTCCTCATCCTCCTCAAGTCTCATATACAAAATTAAGAATGAGGTTGATTACACAGCAGAAACAGGATTTAATAAAGACATCGTTCTTTAACAAGGAAAATATTTTTAAATCTTTAATTAGATCAAATACTTCTTAATTTACTCTATGATAATACTATCTATTGTAATAAAATTGCATACCTGGGTATTTGTGTGGTGCCGCTATAATTGGAAACTGTACCGTCCAATACTTCTGATTCATGGCGACAATTGTTACTCTAATACAGAAGGGTTCAAAATTAATGGAAATACAGTAATTTTGATAATTTTTTAGTCCTAATCCAAGGGGAGTTGTAATTAATAGGGGACAAAAATAATCGTAATATTTTACCTATTACCGAAAAGCGTCCTGACTATTACTGAAAGTAACGGTATTTCTTCCCATCTCTACTACAACCTACTAGACAGCAAGTAGAAAATCAGGCTCGACGGCAAGTACAACATACAACTCCTGCTGTCAACCAACTCTTATAACATCCTCAAGACTATACACAATGTGTACCCTTGGATATTTTCACGATCTAGTTTGCTCAGAGTTCAGTGATTGGCATACAAAGTCGTCTTCAGAGTCAATCATATTCAGATCTTTTTAATAGCAGCTACCGAGTGAATGCAGCAAGTACGCTGAGCATGGAAAAACTTACAATCTGCTAGTAAAAAAGCTGGTTAATAGCTTGTAAACTCGTCTCGAACTGTGTACTCAAGTGGAAGGATCAGTTATGTATTAGATAATGTTGTACTCTTACATGCAGGACAGCTGTTCCGTGTAGACATCAAAGTTGGAAGGGGCGACCCAGTTGACCGCAGCAGTGAGGAGTTTGTATGATGACCGGACGAGAGCCAAGTTCTGCAAAGAGTAATCATAGAGTGTTTGTATAATCTAACATAAAGAAAATTTATTCCTATACATTACCAATCTCGTTCCTCATCTTATTATTTTAATATTTTATTACATTTTTAAGATAGGACTAATTTTTTTTATTATTTTGAGTATGTGTATCTGTAACTAAAATTGTTTAAGGTTTTTTTTAAGAGAACAGTCCAAACCAGTGTCATGTTACTATCTAACATCAACACTTTTGTTGACTTTAATGGACAGCCCATAACAAATGACATCCAAGTCGAGAACCAATCTCGCTTGGAATCGAACCAGTAGCCTTCAGACTTGAAGGCGATCACTATAATCACTTTTAGGTACTCAGACAACTATGTTTTAGACATTCCATCGCCATGTTAAAGTTGTTGGTTTTTGATTAAATTTGTCTTAGTTAATGTGAGCCACCTACAGATTGCACTGATATAAATTACTGATTTCTGCCAATTACACAATGGTTTTTACCAAGTCAAACTGATGGAATGACTTATTATGAGCTATAGCAACTGTTATGAACCAGTAACTATGTCAGTAACAAAAAATAAGGTACAAAATAGAGTTTTTGACACTAGAGCAACCTGTAACTGGCTCACACAACTACATTAGTTTTTAGTAAAAAATTGGCGACAGCTGATCCATATAGAAGGTATGTCTTTATGTTGTTTACTCTTTTTAAAAGAAATCATTCTATAGTTTGGCCCCTTAGAAAGCGACCTCCTCCAACATTGGTTTAGCATTAGCGCGCAGGTCGTTTTCTAAGCGCCGAACTATAGTTTTTAAACTCCATTGAAAACACTATCAATATAAAGTTAAGATAATAATGACACAAAAGTTTTTTGGTTCAGACCTTACAGCTATTGAAGATTTTAAAAATGTTTGCTAACACTGTACTGTGTAGACCTACAAATTTCCATGAGCTAACAACATGTTTAAAAGTGTTTGCTCTACTACCATATTGTGTACACTTACATTAATTTTACTAGCTGTTAACGCATTTGTCAAGGATTGTATTCGACTTTGCAACTGATTAAGCTTTCATTTGGATAGTATTCAGTTTCATAGCTGTCAACTTTATAGTAAAGTATAACCATCACTTCGCTTCCTACTGAAAATTCACATTGCTCACCTTTTGACCGGGCGAGCAGTCTGTAACCTCTGTTTTTTCATCTTGTTCAAACTCGCCAAAAGGCAAGTTGTCCTTCATAATTTGCACCATCATGCCCGTGAATGCTTGATATCTATCAAAAGGGGAGGAAGCGCACACACAAATCCTCTTGTGACTTATCCATTGGCCTTCCACTTCAATGTTCATTGGAGCCGTGTTTCTGAAGGGTCGTCTGCCGATGTAGGGAGGAATCATGGCGACACAAACGTCCCTAGTTGGTTGAAGAGGAGCTACTTGATCAAATTGACTCTGATAATAGGTCATTCCCTCTTGAAGCATCATCAATACTCCAACGAGCAATATCTTCATCGTAGTATACTGTTTTCTGGTTGAAACATATTTGTTATTATTTGGGATTGGTTTACTAAACCTTTTGGGACTATTGTAATTGGTATTGGATATTGTGTGCTTCATTACTTAAAATGTTTGGGCCCTTTGTGGATACAACGCTTTGGAGTTGAACTGAGAATATAGTTTGCTAAAGTATAAAATAAATATTATTTTTATATTGTTACACAGTATCTAATCAAAATGCCTTGCAATAAACCCACACAACACAAGAATATCCTTGGAATGTCCTGGGGATATCCCAGTGGGATATGGGGGATATCCCCTTTATATCCCTCGAATTAACGAATTAAATATTTTTGGCAAACTTAACAAAAATTGTAAGTTGAATAAAACAGGTGGAATTTAGTATTGAATTTAAACTTGAATTATGTGTGTTAAAGATTATTATTTTCAAGAACTTTTTAATTAAAAGACTATGTCAAATCCCCTTTAAATTTTAAAATATTTTGAGTTTTGTATAAGTTTGAACATGCATCCAATATTACCAACGGACAAACCAAAAGCGCATCTATACATTTAAAATGTTACAGAGTGAAAATTTAAAAATGTACGTTTTCATGTCCCTGGCCTTTTACTTCGTAGATACTGGATTTGTAGTTTATTATTATGTGTTTTAATATTTTTTGGGACGGGGGCAACATGTTACACACATTTATTTGGTTTTAAATAGGTTCTAGGTATTTTTTTCGTATTTTTAAAGTCTCTAAATTCATGACCATGACGTGTCCCTAGGGTACATTTTCCAACTTTCACGCTGTTTTTAGACTAATTTTCATGCCGAAATATATAAAGCCATATTTTATGTCATCAATGGTTATTAAACTTACAAAAAAGGAGCATATTATAATTTTATTGTCATTGCAAACTGACTACCATGACAAAATAAGTCTGTCCCTCGATTTGGCGTCACGACCATTTGGGAAAAATTTTCAACTTTGGAGCACGACAGTGGCAAG